AGATTCAAAAAGACATATGCACCTCTATGTTTATAGCAGCACTATTTCCAATAGCCAAGATAAGGAAGCAACCTAAGTGTCCATCAGTAGATGAGTGGATAAAGAAGATGTGGTAAATATACACAATGGAATACTATTCAACCATAAGAAAGAAACAGATCCTACCATTTGCAACAACATGGATAGAGTTAGAGGGTATTGCATTCAATGAAATAACTCAGGCAGAGAAAGGCAAATACCAAATGATTTCCCTCAATTGTGGAGTATAACAATGAAGCAAAACTGAAGGAACAAAATAGCAGCAGACTCACAGAACCCAAGAAGGGACTAGTGGTTGCCAAAGGGGGAGGGGTGGGGGAGAGTGGGTGGGGAGGGAGAAGGATTGAGGAGTATCATGATTGGTGCACATGGTGTGTGGGGGGTCACAGGGAAGACAGTGTAGCTCAGAGAAGACAAATAGGGACTCTGTGGCATCTTACTACACTGATGGACTGTGACTGCAGTGGGATATGGGGGGGACTTGATAATAAGGGTGAACGTTATAACCACATTGTTTTTCTTGTGGAACCTTCATATGGTGTATATCAATAATACCTTAATTTAAAAAAGTAAGAAACCTACTACACCAAACTGGAAACCTAGAGAAAATGCGTTATTTCCAGTAAAAATTTGTATCAACAAAATGGGCCCTAAAATAAGGAAAACACAAGCAGACCAATTAGCCATCCAGGGACCTCTCACCCTGCTTGGACTTCCCTCTCCCAGGACAGGGAAGGAACAGGGCCAGAGCTAAGCAGCAGCCACCCTAAGACCTGGCTCCACCCAGGACCCTCATCGCCTCAGGCCATGCCCTGCCCAGTGGGGACACCATGTGGAGGGAGTCTTGGGAATTGCTAATTCTGGTGGGTCTGCCGGGACTTTTTTAATTCCAAGGGCATGGAAACACTAGAGAAGTAAAATAAACTAATTATCTTTTATAAACTGTAGAAATTAATTAATACTCATAAGAGGCGAGTTTAAGATCAGGCTTGCGCCTGGCAGGTCCCAGCAGTCACACTCTTGTGGTGCAACCTGGCCCCTTTCCACTCTCACCCTGCTAAGTGCCTTCAGGGAAGCCCCTTTCACAAGCACGGTCTCTCTTACTGCATCCTGGGCCTCCAGCAGCTCCAGGCTGACACCCACTCATCATCCATTCTACAGGGAGTGTTTCTCCTTCCCCGGGATTTAAATGCCTTTGGCCTGGCTTGTTCACATTCTCATCCCTGGACCCATCAGAGCACCCAGAGGATGGAACGTGGGGTTATCTAGACTGGGATCATAAGCCCATCTTCCAAGTGGGTGAAACGTGGGGTCTGCATTCTAGAAATGCTTGTAGTGGATCCCTAACCTTCACCCAAACCCTGACCCTGAGCCTGTACCGTCCTAACACTAATCCATTCAATCCCAACTATAACTCCATATCAGAAGGTACTAAAGAATTTATACCCAATTCCAATCCCTTTTTCTAGTGTAACCAGAACCATAAATTACATTTTTATCTGAACCTTCAGCCTATTCAATCATCTTTTCTAAATGAGCTCTAAGTATAAACTGAATAAAACCCTAACTCTGATACCCACATAACCTTACACTGTCATTGCTTATTAGACAAACCTTTTGCTTAAACCCAACCCTAATTCCTAACCCTAATCCTACCCCCAACCTCAGCTCAAAGCCTAACTCTAACCCATCCTGTCTCACGCTTACCTGACTCCTAAGCACTGACCCATACGAACACTTACAGCCATGCAGAACTTCAGCCAATACCTGCTAGATCCCAGCCTTAACGCCCCCCCAACTGTATTCAATTCCTAATTCAAGCATGACCACAGCTCTTGAGGCCTCACCCTGACGACTCCTGCCACATGTCCATGCTGACCCCCACCCTGATTCATGCTCATGTCACCAGAAGGCCGAGAACAAGTCACTTAAGTCCGTTTCCTCCCCAGCTCTCCTCGCTGTGCACCCACGTGCCAGCCAGTGCACATGGCCTTGCCCCCCAGTGCTCACCTGCCTCTGAATCCAGCACCCCTTGAATATACCACCCAGCAGCAGGATGGGGTTTTGTTTTTGATTTTTGCTAAGTTTAATTTTAATACAAGGACTGCTTCATAAAAAATGTCATTGTAGAAACAGTAGCAGAATCCAAAGTTTGGCTGATAAATGGTACTCAGGCAGCACTAGTCAATCACATAATTTTTTTTGAAGCAAGTCCCAGCTGTGTTGCAGGGTTGGGACTTCTTCTTTTTTTTTTTAACACTGTTGTTAAATATAAAGTTTTGCAACAAACTTTTGATTTATATCAAATATAATTAAAAATTAACAAATGAATACATTGTATCAAAAAGTACGAAGATATACATTTTCATGCACATACTTGTATATATGTATATATGTATATATTTTACATGCACACATAACTTGCTCAAACTACAGCCACTGTTTGACTGGTTCCAGATGCAGACAACTTGTTGATGCATTTAAAATTTGGCAACTCACTATGAGATTTCAGGGGAAACGTGATAGCTAAGAAGAGACAATACAGAAACAAAACCCAGAGTCAGGAAAACAAGACATGGTGTCTCCTCCCCCACTCTCTGTCATCTTCACCAATCCCAGCGTCTAGAAGAGTCCAGACAATCCAGTGAGGCTCTGAGTCTAGAAAAGTGGATTTCCCTCCCAAAGTGGCCTGGGAGTCAGCTGTGGTTCTGCATGGAAAGAATACATTCAAAATAACATAGGCTGGGGAGCAGAAACAAACATCAGTATCAAAATACACATCCTTCTGTTTTGCAACAGGAGTGCAGCAATCACATGCACGGTCCTACTGGAGTGAAATACTCTGTTATCTTAAAGTCTCAGAGTGTTGTGCCTTCGAGTAAAGAAAGTCTATAAAATGGTTTGGTCACAATCATGCTGAAACTTTAGAACAGGGGGCGGCCTTGTGTGTTTTGTTTCTATTAAACGTGTTTTATGTTGCATAGCCCTGTGGGTTTTTGGCATCCACTCACTGGACACACTCCACACACACACATGCACACTCACACCACACGCTATTTCTTTAAGGAGAATCATGGGCTGAAGGCCAATGGGAGCACTCAGATGGTCCATCAAAGAAACCAGCTGACATCTCAAGACATGGAGGACACAGCAGATCGACACGTGTAAACACTTCCTGTGTGCCCCAAGTGAACAGTCTCCCCCCATTTTATGCACAGAGTCCTAACCAGTCTTTTCCCTGTGGGAGTGGCCATGAGGCTGCATGTCCATGGCCGGCTTTCCCACATCTTGTGCCAGAAACACTGCTGGGCTTCCGATGCCCCTCCCTGAGCCACAGTGGCTGAGTTTCTCCTTCATTGACTGTTTCACCTGAATTTCAGCCTCATTTCAGTTGGGAGTCCCAACTGCCCACACCTGCTCAGACATGGCCCTCCCTCCTGCCCCATGGGCCCTGTCCCCAACCACCCCCACCCATCCAATCTCTCCCTCTTCTCCGGCCTTATGTGAAACTTCCTGACAACACAGATTGCAGCCCGTCCCTGAGAATCAGATGGAGAACAGATTGAGTGCCCCCAGCAAGCACACATCCTACACTGCTCTGTGGCTTCTCAGGAAACCCTTCTGTGACTGGAGGAAAGGGGAAAATGGTCGCCCCATTTCAAACTGCACCCACCCTCTTGGATGTCATTTATCTCAGTGTTCTCCATCGGCATCAGCCTTTTACCTGGCTGCTGTTTGAAATGGTTTCCACAAAACCCGCCCACAGTTCACACAGGCCCCACATCACAGCCACCAGGAGCCCAGCATGAGAGGGCTTGGAGTCAGGCACTTGGCAGAGAGTGGCAGGAGTGAGGGGTTGTCTGGGGGGCTGCCTGGACTGGATGGGAGCACATCTCCTTGTACAAGTCACACACACACATGCATCATGAGAAGTTGAGATCTTCCTAAGGGTTTGACTTTTTTTAAGTTATGTTAACATTTCTTTCCCCATTTTTCTGCTTCTCTGTTTTTTCTGGATCAAATACATAGAATTGACAAGAGTGAAGGGTGTTGGGATTAAAACACAAAATGAATGACAAAAACATTTTTGGATTTGGTCCTTGCACAGTTGACAGTGTCTGGGAGAGGACAGAGGGCATTTGAGTGTATTTATAGTGTCCACTTGCTGATCAAATTATGAAGAGTGATGCCAGATGTGTGTGTTTATGGATGCTGACAAGACTTGCACAGAGGCATGGCTGGGCTCCCAAGGTGCTGTCTGCCATCGACTCCATCCTGAGGTCTCACCACACTTTTAAGCATGGTCTGCTTCTCTGTACCACACCTTTGGATAAAGGATGCACCCCCACACAAGATTCAGACCTCCTAAAAAGGATTCCAAGCACATACGCCAGATGCTGGGGTCCATCTCACAGGATTCAGACTCCCTGAATCTGGCTCATCACATGACACCACCTCCTGTGTCAGGTCTACAGTATGAGACCCAGGAAGGCAGCACACTAGGGGATGGAGAGAGCCTCATCCCTCTGGAAAGGTCATCAGTGATCCAGTGTGAGAGAAGAGAGAGGAGCAGCAGGGCCTCCACCCAGCTGGCACAGGAGGCAAGGCCCCCGAGCATCCCTGGGAGCCCAGTGTGGATGATAAAACTCATCAACTGGACTGTGCCCGCTGAGCAGGCATGTGGCGGTGGCGGCCATGGTGCAGCTAGCACCAGTGGTCTTGGTCTGGGTGGTGGTAGCTGTGTCGTACCTGGCCACCAGAGCTGAGCCCCAGAATACAGTGGTAGCCATTGGGCACACGGCAGAGGCGATGGGACTGGGAGGTCAGGGAGTACACGTAGGAAGTCCGGGAGGAGCGGCCTGAGTTGGTCGCCACAGCCTCCTCGAAGGTGAGTGTGTCCTCAGGCTGGGTGTGGGCAGTGGCCTCGCTGTCCAGACGCTGTCCCAGGTAAGGATCAGAGCCTATTCGAGAGCCAGGGGCTGGCTAAGGGTGTTTCTCTGGAGCAGTGCATTGTGTTCAGAAAAGCCACAGTTAAACTGATCAGGGGAGAAGGCAGGGAGGCTTCTCTGAGCCCCAGCAAAGTGGACAGGGGAGGAGTTGGCCATCATGTAGGTGATGCTGGGACGGGGGTTGAGCGGGGTCTGGAGGAGCTGCCTCTGCCCACCACGGCCAGGGGTGCTAGCACCAGATGTTGACAGCAAGGGGCTCCCATTCACTGAACCACTACCCTAAAAGAAAATGGAACAGAGAAAATCAAAATCAAAGGACCAGATCAAACAGAGCACAGTAGAGGTGAGAGTCCCTGAGGTGGGGGTTGAAGGGCACAGAAGAGGGCAGGTGGGCTGGACCCAGGGCAGCCCAGGAGGGGAACAGGCAGAATGTGGGGAGCGTGAAGGCAGATGGCATAAGTTAGGGCCAGGACGGCAACCAGGGGATGGCAGGTGATGGGAAGAGCCCGGGAAGAGGAGAGATGGCATGGTCCAGGGAGGGAGAGTGCAGACCGGGCTGGGAGCAAGGACATGAGCGTCGGGTTGCAAAGGTGCGGGAGGGCCGTGAGGAGGGGCTGCCTCGGCCACCCAGTCTCACCTGTCTCAGGGGTCCTGGCTCCTGACCAGCCGTTGGCGACGTAGGGTGGCTGCTGAGAGAGGGCTTGGGCTGTGGGGGCTCGCGGCCCCCAAAGCGGTCACATGAGTAGAAGCGCTGCTTCTCGGAGGAGGAAGACTGCCTCCGTTCCTGGGAACGGCCGCGCTCCTGCCTGCGCTCCCTCCGGCAGCCCACAGGCCCCTCTCCCTGGGGCGGCCCTGGGCCCGCAGTGCTGCTGGGTGCTGGCCCAAGGAAAGGAGACATCAGGCAGTCAGACCAGCAGGGAGACAGGCCTTCCACCCAACACCCAGACCCTCCAGAGCCAGCAGGGAGTCCTGGGGAAGAGCGGAGCCAGTGGGGGGGAGGCAGTCTTGCCTGGTACCCAGGCCCAGGACTCAATGCTTCCTATGCAGGGCAGATTGTGGGGGGTTGTGAGATACAGAAAGAAAGAGGGTCCCCCATGGGCTCTCAGACCCCAGACCCAGGCCACAGCCACATGTAGGATCTCTTGCACGCACCACCATCCGTGCCTGCGGACAGGCTGGGCCCCTTCTCCAGGGACTTCTGCTTCCTGTCCCTGCAGCAATGGCAGCGGTGGTGGTGGTGGTGGAAAGCAGCCTGGCTGGCTGGTGCACGGTCCAGGGTGGCATTGCAGAGATGAGCCACGCGGGGGCGCTGGGGAGCCAGCGTAGAGATGGAACACTTCATGGGGCTGGAATCTGGGGGTGCCTGCAGGAGTGGACAGGGCAGGTGCACAACTGAGAGTGGGGACTAGGGGTACAGTGCCTAGGAGATCCTGGCCCATGGGGTCCAGGGTCCTCAGGAAGTTACACTGAGGGACTGGGGTCCAGTAGCCATCAGGCGTGCCCCTTTCCTGGAAAGTTCTTTCCCACCTGAGACCCAGCCTTTCTGCAAGAGCACTCTGCACAAAGTGCTGTTTCTGTAAGTGTCCATCTCCCACACCTGGTGCAGCCCAGGTGGCCCACTTGCATCTATGTCCCTAAAAGACAGGGAGGATGCGAGGAAGAGGGAGGCTGTTGGCCTGAATGGAAGAACCCACATGGGGAGCCCAGAGGTCCCTCAGTGGCTGCAGTGTGATGGCTCTGCCAGCCCATCTGTGCATCCAGCAGGACCATGAGGCTGCTTCCCTGGGGCTGAAATCAGGACATGTGGGAACAGGTCCTCTGAGTGGAGCTTGCCCACAGCCACTACTCAGTGCCAAGCACCAAGGGAAAGAAGAAGATGATTCTGGGGAAAAGACGGCAGTGTAAGAAGGCAAAGCAGAAACCTCCCTCCAAATTCACATA